TGGGGGGGGGGGGGGGGGCAGCAGGTGCTGTTTCGCTGTATTGGGCGAGGATGTGTGGTGTATTTTACGTCGAGGTTTGGATACGAGAGTCAGTGCGGCTGCGACACTAGCGGTGTATATTCGTGGCCGATGACGTCGGACCCTTCTCTGTTGAACCGTACCCATTTGCTTGGTTCCAAAGGTGGGAGGGGAACGGCAGCAGCGCCGTCCCCGCATGCTTTCGTCCATTCGCCCCAGGTACATATGGATGTTGTTGTTGCCTTGATGGCCCAAACCGTGTTTGTTTTTCATTCAACGTCTCCCTCTAGTCGCTGGGCATTTTTTCTCACCGCTTTGTAGGAAGCGGACTGTTTGTTGTTTGCCTTTTCTTACCTTGTCTCGTCTGGTGTGTTGCCTCGTGTTTCCGGCCGGGCAAGTTTGACGACGTCCTTTCAGGGAGAAACGTGTGTTTTGGTTCTCGAGCTGGTTGATTGTTGAGCTCCCTTGTTGTCTGCTGCTAAATCGTCGCTGAAAAAGAGACCGCACAGACGTTCCCACGCTTGTTTTTTTTAGGTTCGAGTTTATGCCACCTTGGCTGGCGCGTTCGGCAGGCTCATGTACAGCACATGGTGTGGTGGGCAATTATTCCCAACTAGCACTCCACCTTTTGACGCAGTGAATTGTCATGTTTTGAGGACCTAAATTCCTTGGAGAAAACGAATTGTCATGTTTTAGAATTTTTTTCATTTGGCGCAAGTCACCCGCGCGTAGAAAATGCCGTCTTTCGTCGGTGTGCGATCCCTCGCTCTTCTCCGCGCTACACACGCATCCCGCTCCGTCCGACTGACATTCACTCCCACCAGCGCCAGATTAAGCTACGAGAAACCGACACTGCCTGGCCTTTTGTTTTCGTACTACCGTAGCATGAGCTTCTGGTTGGGTGTTGTTTCGTGTGGGAACAGCATTATTAGTGTCCTCGCTGATGAGCACCCTCTCCGTGGAGCAGCGAGAACGAGTGTTCTTTATCCTTGCGAACCGGCGTGTATTGCAGGAGCGGGTTTCTCGAACGTGTCACGCGTTTTAAGAGCGTTGGGTTGGATGCGCCAGCCAAGGGAGGCCCCGCAGAGGCCACACCCGAAAACGCTCGAAGGAGGGACCCCTTGCGAAGCGGTTGTCGCCGGGGGTGGTTGGAGGGGAGACGTGTCACGAAGCGTTTGTCCGCCTTCGCCGAGAACGCGATTGGCGTCCAAGCGTACATGTTGCCACCGTGGACATGACGGTGTCGAGAGCGGTAATATAGTCTGTTTTGTCGGAGGGGAAGGCCAGGCGAGCTCGTCACTAGCACTCGGAGAGAGGGGGGGGGGAAGGGGGATTTGTGTTCAGAAGGTCAATCCAGCGGTTGTGGCGATAATTTGTCGGTTGAGACAAGGTTCTAGAGACGGGCAATGCGAAGTAGTGGTCGTGGTCAATGTTTGGGGATCAAGTTTTCCTGACCAAAGCAACAGAGCAAAGAAAGGTGTAAACTATTTCCTTTGTTGTCATTCACCATCATTCGCTGTGAAGGTTGAAAGCAAACCAGTTCTTGCAGCTGCGACTTGTCTGCTGTGTGCACTTGTTGATGCACGCGCGCGTGTTTTTGTGGCTCCACGGTTTCCTTGTGAGATGTGATTTTTGACTGCAGCAAGTGTTTACCACTCAGTCGCGTGGTGGTCGACGTTGGAGCTGCTTGACTGCTCCTGGACTTTCCGCCCGACAGCAGTAGAAGTAGGCTCGCCGGGGGACGGCCCCATGTGGTAACGAAAGAAGAGTGTTTCCGCAGGATGAACAGACGTAATTGTACCAATGATGGGTTTGCACAGCCCCGAAGGGGTGTACTCATAGTTGTGCATGCCGTAGTCGTTAGACCATTGACCTCGCATCCCTACAAAGCCGGGACGGAGCACGCCGGGTTCTCACCGGACCAGGCTCTCACATCACCAAGCGCGAAGCGCCGTGAGGTATTCGGCGAGTCGCATGAAGGGTGAGCTGCATCCTGCTAAGGGTGTTCGGCATCTTGTGCTTACTTCCTTGCATACGAATGACAGCTGCGTATGACTTAATTTATTTTCTGGTGCGTTCACTTCCAGAGACAGTTGTAAGCACTGTGTAACTGCCTCGAGGATGCTTGACCATTTTAACACAACGTGGTGCGATCATCCCCCGTTGCGCGGAGTGAGGCTTCTCGCCCCCGCACAACATAATCTACTCGACCACCATTCATGGTTAAACCGCAAAAAAAAGAAAACAGAGGTAAAAAAAAACCGGTAACCTGGTTGCCGAGTTCACGAAGTGACTTGGCTTGTTTTACAACGTCGTTGCCAAGCGACGAAAACCCAATCCCGATGGCAAAACACCGGGGGGGGGGGGGGGGGGGGGGG